CTCTCACGCGGCTCCAACTTTACTGGAACTGGAACGTAGCGCGACTCCAGTTCGATAACAGAGTGCGCCTTCCCGTCGTTGTCAGACAGCGTGAACTTGGTTGGACCATCCTGCAAGTAACCTTCAGTCAGCAACAGCGGTATAATACGCAACGCCAAATTGCAACCCACGAAGGTCTGTTCCAAGAAAGCCTTTGCAGCACCCTTCCACTCCGCGATCACATCATCCTTGTCGCCCTCATCAGCCTCGTTCAATCTCAGCCACACCCGACCAAAGTCAAGCTCCTTGACGAATCCCTCTCCGACATGCTCCCACTGCGCATGTGTACTCCGGGCCTTGACCGTGGTGAACGCAGGCCAATAGCCATCATCAAGCAGCACCTCGAGTCTCGCCTTCTTCGCTAATTGACCGGAGATGACGTTCATGATCACGACGCCAGACTCTGTAATCCTCATTAGTCGCACATCTGAAGCTGGCAACGATCTCACTCACGTTGACGCAGAACCTCATCTTTGGACATTACAATACCCTCAGGCTCCTTCGGCTGGGGCGGTTTCTTCGGTGACTTTCCACTCGGCGCCTGCCCATTCGACTCTGGAGCTTGCCCGCCGGCATCATAAGGAGCAGCCGATCCATTAGTCTGGTTTGTGGCTGCCGACATGCCAGTAGCGGTCGACTTCACGGTATCCGTGGACTTGACGCCCTTCCTATGACCCTTGGCGAACATCGAATCCACCGGACTAGTAGCAGTGATCCCTTCTGGCACATCCTGGACCTCAACATCGGAGCTGGACATGGAGGATCCGTCATCGTCAGTCACGACGCCACCGTCCTCGTCCCCTCCAGCGTTCTGCGCAGCACGTTGCAGCTCGTTAGGTCCAGTAGAGAAGCCGTTCCACCTCAGCGCCATAGTCGGGATGAACTCCGCCGTGTAGTGAAGGCGCCCCTTGTACGAATTGCCACGATCAAGCTTGATAGGGTCCTGGACCTCCTTCTTACCAGTGCTCTTGTGACGATACTGGGGATCCTCCGTTGACTCTTCTGCGAGGTCCGAGACACGCAGCTCAACCGTACCCAGCGATCGGTCCTGAAAGTTGGGTTAGGGTTACGTGCTCATTCAAGACTGTCAAGGCTCAGGTTCACCTTGGTGAGATGCTGATAGTCCATACACTCGAGCAGCATGGTCTGAATAGAATGTAAGAAGTAGGCCTAGCACGCACGACAAGAGTACTGACTTCTCTGACGGAATGCACTAGATACCCGCTCAATTAGAATACGATAAGTTTAGAGACACGCCACTTACCTGGAATGTAGATAATCTGATCCCATACAGGATTGAGGTCTATGAAGACGTCAGCAAAAGATCACGGCGCGCATGTCAGTCGACACTCACTGTTGTTGACAACCTCCGTCCTGCCTTGGGTGACGTTATTGATCTGAACCCGGACATACGGGTCACTCTAAACGCGCGTTTCAGTAAAACCAAATAATGCATCATCTGAAACAGCGTACCTTGCCACCCAAAGCAGCCTCCACATTCCTGTACGCCCATCAACACAAATCCACCCAAACAAACAAACCATCCACTCACTTCACATCCGTCGCCCTATCCAACCACAGCCTCACCACGCCGATAGGCGGCGTATACTGCTCCGCACCATGCAAGCTCCCCGCCAAATTCAACGGCTTCCACTCCGCCGACATCCTCACCCGCCCACTCATACACCCACTCAACGGCCACCAGTCCTTCCCCACCTCCTTCTTCGACTCCAACAGATCCTCCAACCGCACGCGCATGTACCCCACGACCGGGTCTTTCATAAAGTCCCTGTCGTCGATAATCTTGACCGTGATTATCGATGCATGCTTGTCAGAGCAGAGGAACTCCGTAGACGACTCCCACACGGGCGAGAGGGTGTGCTTGAACTTGGTCGTAGAGTGGATGGGGCTCTTGCTGTCTCCAAGGAAGACCTTCGCGAAGGGGTTCAGGTCGCCGGTCATCGACTTGGAGGGGTCGAGGTCCTTGGCTTGGTGAAGCGTCAGGCGAACAATACCCACAGCTGCGCAGGGTTAATCTCATGTCAGTCAACGCTGAAAATCAAACCACGCACAGGTATCGGGCAACTCCTCCTTCCCATCCACCATCTCTGGCTTCAATACAGGATAGAATGACAAATCGAACCTGAGAGTACCCTTCTCCTTCCCGTCCTTCAGAACCTCAGCCTCCAAGTTCTCCAGCGTCGCGTCCTCCTGCAACTTGGTCAGATCGAAGGTAGCAGAGCCCATCTCCGTATTCTTGCGGTGGTCATTGTAGTCGAAAACGGTGAACACAAGGGCATCAGTTAGTGAGTTGACAAGCAAGAATTTCGTCTCATTCCACGACGGGTTGTACCTGAAAAAGAGTAAGACACCTCGGCCATTAGAGAAAGGATACCGATACATACGTGCTGTTCTTGTACTTAGTCCTGGCCAGCTCGCCACGGTTGCTGATGCTGAGACTGACAAATGGATCAGGAGTACCGCCACCAATCTTGCTCCCCTTTAGGCTACGTCCAGAGTGGACAGTAACCTGTAATACACCAATGGCCGCATCCAAGGGTGCACCAGAGAGCAATTGCTCCAGATTCAAAGTGAACACGTTCGGGTCGTACATCATCGGTCCGAGAATCGAATGCACCGTATCCCGAATAAACGAAGACAGCCCAGGAATCTGTAACCACGGCGTAATAAGTCCACGCCACAGCCCAAAATCTGAATGCACACTTACATCGTTGATGTCAAACCCATGCGCGCCTCCAATAGGCTTCAAGACGTAGTCAAAGACGGGCTTCTCTAAGAACGATATATCGACGAGCTGCACATGCGGGAAGTTCGTCATCAACTTCATCCTGATCCTCATGAGGCCGGTAAAGGTGAGGTCTTCGAGCAGGACGGGCATAGTCACCCCAGCAATACCCTTGCCCACGCGCACGGACAGCACAATCTTCGGGTTCACCTTGAGCTTGGCTTGCCGCTTAGTCATGTCGGTGTCGTCCGTCGGAGTGAACGAGATGCCCCAGTCCATCATGACGATATCTTCAGCGGTCTTCGGGAACGTCCGGACCTTGTCAATACGAGGGGCTTTCGTGCCGAGGGTGAATGTCGAGAGACGCAGGGAGTCCAGGAACGCAGGGGCGCTGACGCTGAGAACCTGATCTACGGACGAGACAATGGTGGCCGAGAGCACAGGCTCGTAGATCAGCCAAAAGCGGTCCATGAAGTTATTTAGCCAGTCCGCGGATTCATGTTCGGATGCTAGACGCGTTTTGACGAGTTCGCGCTGGATATCGTCCCGCGCTCGTCTGCGCGTGCGCCGCAGCGACGTGGAATAGTAGGTGCTGCAGATTGCAAGGATGATGAATAGCCATCCCCAGCCAAAGTTGAAGCGTGTAAGAAAGTGGCTCATGAACACGGCCTGTAGACGCTTCACGTCAGACTCCTGATGTCATACGGCAGCGAACAACGCACGAAAAAGATAATAGTCGCATTGTGGTACCAGTCGCCGTAGTACTGCTCGGATATAAACAAGTCGAGAACCTGTCTGTCTTTCTCCTCGCCTTCGGGGAGTTCAGGCTCGTCGATTCCACCCGCCGCACGCCACCCGACCTTGTACCAGTCCGGAATAGCTGGCGCTGGCCCGGCAGGCATACCTCCCGGCATCTCGGGCTGGGGAGCCGTCTGGCCATCAGACATTAGTTCAGTATCAGCATCTTCGATGGTTATGGTAGGGACGATATTGGAGGCGCCAGCGTCGATGGCGAGCTCTATATTTGGGACGAACATATGAACTCTGCATGCATCCATGGAAGCGGAGACTACATACCTTTACCACCAGCGCCAGGGTCTTTCTGCGAGACAGATTTAAGCTGGTCGCGCGCCTTTCCAGCTGCAGCAGCCTTCTCTTCGGGTGACGCGTCGGGATCGAAGCTATGTACGGCGACGCCTGCCTTGTCGGCGTCTTTCTGGACAATGTCATTTGCCTCGGCCATTGGCTGGGCGGAACCGTTGAGCGCCGCCATGCACGACGACGAGGACGAGTACAAAGTAAGGAGAATGGTGGGGAAGGGAAGGAGCTAGTCTAATTTACGTGTGCGCTGGGTGTTGCAATTCAAGTCGGTGCCTGCGCTGATGTCACATAGCTCTTGCAAGGCCTGCGGCCTTCTGCCCACAGCTTCGGTCCGAGTCTTCTATTTTTGGTGTGGTTATATAAATAAACTGCCCTTTACGGACAACGCGCCCCTGCTCGCGGCACCGCATTTCATCTTCTGATTGCTTACTGCGAGATGCCCTCAAACCTTGTCTGTGAGATGTGCGTGCAAGTCTTTTCTCTGCCGTTGCTGAGCTCGACTGCGGTATCCTCAAGCGAACTCGGTTCTTGAAGAACTTACGTACCGACAGGGTCTCGACGCTTTCCGAGAGTGTGCCCTTCGCGTTTTGCATAGAATTCCATTTCATTGGCGACACGAGGCGGCCATCTCGGTGCTTGTGTCACTGCACGCTATGCTCCACAACCTTGGCCATGTAATCTGTCCTGTGGGGTCTTCAGCGATCCGGACATGTCAGGCCAGACAGCTGAGGCTGTGCTTGGCACAGTGCTATGTACGTCTGCGATGGACCCACAACATTCCGCCAGCGTGGAGAGTGTATATTTGCTCCATACTGCAATCTAACAATGTTAGTATGATCCTTGTTCCTCTAAAACCAAATATGTGAATGATATCAATAGCTCCGTGCAAGTCGCCCGAGATCAGCTCTTCGAATTGCTCTATGTAGCTCTGACGTCAATGCTTTTCTCTGACAACATACTCTTAAAACCTTTTTCCTAAGAATTGTCCAGCCTTCCAACATACGCAGGTCATATTATATTATAGATGGGGCATGCATGATGCTGACATACCCACTGAAGTTGTGATCGAAGATAGGCACCTGGTCTAATTCCTAACGAGGGTCGCTATCGACATGGCCTTGTAGTGTAGCGGTCTTATCACATCGGATTCTGACTCATTCTGGCGATTTCCGATAACCCAGGTTCGAGTCCTGGCAAGGCCTCGCATTTTGCCCAGTTCTCCGAGGGTAGCCAGAGCATTATCGCATTAGGAATGGGAGAAAGGGCTATGCTTCCATTGACCTTTGCATCCGGAGAGTTGGGACAGTTCAATCAATCGTGAGAATAGAAAGGGATATATCATGGATGCTACAACCACACTGGAATGGTAACACTATAACTCCGTCCATCCCGAGTCCCGCTCCTCACCGCTGAGCAGACCCAGCACAAACATGATAATACTCGCACTGAACCGCATGCCAAGCCCTCTATAGAGCTGGCCGATCCCAGTATTCTTAGACCAGCCTTCCTCAATAACCTCCTCCTCAACCTCCGCCTCTTCCCGACCCTTGCCCTTATCCCCACTCCTGCTCGGCCTGCGCGTCCTCCGCCTCTCCAGCGGCAAGTCCGACCGTTCCTCCGACACAATGTGCCACATCGCGTCGATCACGCCGTTATACGGTGCAGGTCTTAATTCGACGCACGCTTTGATCGGCTTCGCGGACCCGCGCACCTGGGCTTGCAGTCGTCTCCGCACGGTCTCGAAGGGGAGGGTGATGAGGAGACTGGCGCAGTCGCCTGCGAGCTCGGCGAAGCTCCAGGCGATGGGGTGCGTCTCCTCGGTCAGGTTCGGGCTGATGTGGGAGGCGATGATGTTGGGGAGAGCGAGCGGGATGATTGCGCGGAGGGCGTTGTCGAGCAGGGTTGGGATGAGGAGGTGAGGGTGGAGGTAGACCCCCCGGAGGCCGCCTTCTTCTCGGATGATCTGGGACACGGCGTCGATAGGGCCGGTGTATCTGCGGTGGCGCGCCATTGATGTCTGGATCATGAGACGCGTTCGTACAAGGTCCAGCGGTGAGACGATGAAGCCCGTAATAACGTGCGAAATGACGGGTAGAATGAGTGGTGGTTGCTGGAATGGTGAGAGATTGGGTGCAAACATTGCTTGAAGGAGACCGAGAATCGTGGGTTGGATTGTCGAGGAAAGGAGGTCCATGACGCAGGACGTCAGAGTGCCTATATAGAAGCATGCTTGTAGAAGTCAACGCTGGAGCATGGATGCCGAGCTTACCCTTCCACAGCGCCAACCACCCCTCTCCTTTAAATCGCGCGACGCGTCTCATCGTCCCCCACACACCTCCAGCACTCCCCACCGGTATAATATATTCTGGCCTAGTCGCCTCCTCAATCACAGACCTCCTAACCACATACCCGCTCTCTCTCGGCGCACGGTATCGCGAGGCCGGCGCCGAGTTTGTCGGGTCAGCAAAATACGAATCCTGCTCATCTGACGAGGAATTGCTCAGCTACGGGGGTCTGCGCATCAATAGAGCCCATCACTCTGCACGCAGGACATTGTGACTGCGTACCACTTCCTCCTCCTCCACTTCCTCGATACGTTCATGGGGAGGCTCGATCTGGCCTATGTCCCGCGGGACCCATTGCACTTGGAGCAGAGTCCGCCCGACGTCCCAAGGGATCGCAATAGCAAAGCTGGTGTATTTTAGGAAGGCGGAGGCAACGAGGGCCTTGAGGAATAGTGTAACATTTACGCCGGATGGATCAGTCAAAGAGGGCGAGAGATCCAGGATGGAATTTGTGGGTGGGCGGGACCATTGATACTGGTAGACATGGGGCTCGGCAGCTGATGGTGTCCCATTCGAAGTGCTTGGCCCTTGCTGGGCGGGCACAAAGGACCAGGCAGGAAGAGATGAAGAATACAAGTCTCGTAATGAAGGAGGAGAGGTCATGTCATTAGCGCCAGACTTTTATGACCGGGTTTGCCCTCGAACGGCACGTAAAGGGCACTTAATTACCGATATCGTTGACCGAGAGCAAGGAGAAGGAACACAGACAACGTTGCGCAGTAGAGTAACAAAGTGCTGAAGCAGCCGAGACGCGTCTCCGGAGTGGCAACACGTGCGTCTTCTCGGAACCCACCAAACGCCCGAGTCATCACGCAGCTTGTACTGGTACACGCACAATATATAGCAGAACGAATACTAATACACAATGCTCGCAAGTAATGAAAGCCCCCAGCCACGGTAGAGCTGACCAAAGCCTGGAAAACGATTCTGAAATTGGGTACTGCCGCTGTAGGGCCTCACAGTCTCTCCCTCTGGCCCGGAAGGAGGGAGGGGGAGATCAGCTCTCTCCTCCGTTCCAATATGCCACAAGGTGTCAACGACACCGTTGTAAGGCACCGGCCGCACCTGCACAGAGGTCGCGATGGACCTCCCAGGACCTCGGACTTGCAGCTGCAGTCTCCTCCGCGCTGTCTCGAAGGGTAGCGTGACGAGCAATGTGACGCTACCGCAAAGGACTTTGGACATAAGTCCCCTGGGGACGTAGGTCTTGATAGCCAAGGGGATTGCAACAGATGCCACTGATCGGAGCGTATTGTCGAGCAGTGCAGGTATGAGGAGATGGGGGTGGAAGTGCATCCCTTTCCAGCCGCCCTCGTATCGCAGTATTTGCGAGAACTCATCTAGCAAGCCCGACGAGGGTTGCAGTTGCGGATCGGAAGAGTACACGATCAGACGCGTGCGGACGAGCTCTAGTGGAGAGAGCAGGAGCCCTGTCAAAACGTGCGAGGCGACATTCAAGGCGACATCGACAGACGGGTTGCCAACGGGAGCTCCTGCAACCTCGCACACAAAATCGAGCAGACCAAAGATGATCGGCTGCGATACCGTCGAAAGGATCTCGACGAGGCACGACGCCGTAGATCCTACGAACACCGTTAGAGACTCATGTTACTCGGCAGACTGGGCCCTCGACATACCTTTGAACAACGCCGTGAACCCTTCATGCGAAGCGAGCTTCCTCATCATTCCCCAAATGCTCCCCGCACTCCCAGCACGTATCGCATGGGGAGCAATAACCAACCCACCACTCTGGACACCAACAACTGTGGGCCTGTCCAAATCCTTCGGAACCCACTGCACCTGCAGCAGTGCCGTCGCGACTTCGAAGGGGCTCACAATAAGAGCTGAGGTGTACTCGAGGCAGCCCCATGTAGCGAGTGCTTTCAGTACGTCGATCCAGTTCCCCTGGGATTGATCGGAGGATACTCGCGCCAGGGCGTCATCCAAGGCAGGGGCTGCCCAATTATACGAGGTCTCCAAAGAAGAGAGGTTGTCTTCTGTGATGAGTCGCCCTGGGACTCCTTGGAGGTCCGAGAGAGACGAGGAGTAGAACTTGCGGACGGAATCAGCACTCGGAAATGGTGATTCCATGGCGAGCTGTCCGTCTAGCGCGGGCTGTGGTATCACTACGGACTTCCTGGTATCCGCATACTCACAAGTAACAGAGTTGCTACTGAAATCAGAGCTCTAGTCCTGCATCCTCGACGGCCGAGAGTATTCGTTGGAAGAGAGCCGGACCGGTAATTGCCGGATCGTGAACCGAAAGTACGCCGTCCGAAATGTCTCCGCAAGACATACCGTCCACGCTGCTATGAGTGTCTACCATTTACTCGCTACATGCGTCTCTCTGTTGTTGCTTCGGAAAATCTTCGAGAACGCTTGCGACGCTGAAGTAGGAGACACGGCCAAAGCCTGTCTCTCAACATGAGCTCTTCCATTTCAGCAACACCACCACCACATCACAAACCAGCTACGACTACAACTATCATAATTGTCGGGCCACGGACATGCGGAAGCCCGCGAGTACACGACCGGCATGCAACACGCTACTTGGCACATCATTAGGGGATGATATAGACCGTCCGCGGGTCTCAGGGAAGTCCGTTCTGATGAAGAATACAGGGATGGCGCGTCGAGTCAACAACATCGGTAAGGCCAGGAGTGCATGCTCTCGTCAACGAGGCGGAGAAGGAGGTGAGGCATGGGAGAGGAGATGTTCTATCACAGGAACCTTCTTAAGCGGTCGAATCTTCACGGGGGAAGCTCTGAACTCACTGATGAACAAGCCTAACGCCTGCGTTATCGGACAACAACTGCTGTGATCCTCTCCCAGAACATCCGCAGCCTACTACTGCTCGTTGATTTTGCCGACCGTACACTGCTCCTACCACTCCTGACACTCGCCCGGTCCGCCAACACTGGCGCCTCCCACAGCGGGAACGGCCCAGATATCATCGGTCGCTCCGGCTGCTCCTGCATCTGAGTCTTGCTCAGGGAGCGCCGGATTCTCTTGACCATTCCAGGATCCTCTGGCAGGGGAGAAGGAAGCTGCGAAGACACTGGTGATATTCGGCAGGGTCGCTCCGGGTATACGGTAGGTTCGTCAACAAATTTCACCGACTTTGTGGACTTGATGGAAGAGGCATATCTTCGTTTGGGAGGGCCGGCCAGAGTGCTGGTCGCGTCGGAAGGCGTGCGCGTGAGGATAGACTTGGGGCCGACAGAGGTTTTGGTGAGTGCGGTAGATGCGGAGGACGTAGAAGAAGAGCTCCGTCGCCGCTGTCTTGGCGGCAGCTGCACTCGGTGCGTATTCCCGAAGATGGCAACATTCTTGGGCTCCCGCGAGCCCTTTGGCCAGACTCCTTTGACCGCGGTCGACCAGAATCTCCGCTCGTCATCTTCCTCCGTCTCGTCATGAGGGCTAAGCTGGCCTCGCTCGTAACGCATTGAAGAATAGGTGGTATAATGGGAAGGGGAGTCCTCAACAGAGGATTCGTTCACGTCCGTGTCCGAGGAAGAGGACAGTTCCGAGGACTCTGAAGCGTTCCTATGATGGGAACGGCGGGTTGGAGGCGTCTAATGGGCAACACCAGATCATCAGACCGGAATCAGACGACAATATTGCTCCAGCACTCACTTCGGTACATCGTGAGGTAGGCATGAGGTCGTCGATATCGTTCAGGTCATCCATGGATACGGCATCCTACACGGCTCTGCGTGAGTCGATTGCCCCGCACCAGCGTATCTGTCACGTACCGAGTCGTCAAAGAGCGTACTGGGAGTACTGCCCCTGAGGGACTGGATATATAGATCCCCATTGATCAGGAACAGACGGCACATCGACAGATTGGGCGAAC